TCCAGGTCTCTAATAAATCATAACTGCATCAGTAGAATATTCAAAATCGGTTTGCATTAATTCAGTCCCCAACTGATTTTATCACCGCCCCACAAGTCGGTCTCAATGGTATTCTGCCCCCCAGTAAATCCGCCCCCAAATGCAATAGAAACCATTTTTAATTCCGTTTTTAAATGGTATCCAGGTCAAAATTAATTAGTTTTTATAAGGTTAATGCCATCTTAAAAGGCCCCGCAAAGTTGCTTGGAGTAGGTTTTAACATTGTCGTAGTATGTACATACCTTACTTAGTGGGGGCAGGCTAAGTGTTAATAGAATGAAACGCCATAGCTTCAACACTTTTTGTGCTACAAATTTCTAGTTAATTTTATTGGAAAGCCAGCTAATTTTTGAGTAGAAAACAATTTTTAGTTTTCGAAATTTCTTCTCCCGGCATTAATGCAGCGCTGAAGAAGCCGCCTGCAGTCCTTTGCTGAAGCACGCACTGAATTCCTGGACAAAGTGTTCAATTCCGTGCTCAAAAAATTTTTTCGGACCTCTACACTTCTATTAGACTTAGAACACACGTTTGCCCCTAACTTTGACCATTTTTCATAATCTGGAGATTCAAATCCAGAAAGTAGAATTACCATTTCCAAGTGGAGGTAAAATTCAGAATTTTGTTTTTTACCCACGCTTGGGTCATTTTTTGCACTATAAGCTGATGCTTAGTCCTACTGTAAGGTCCAGTCGACTTCAATGAATTGGATCTCACTTAGTGGATGCACCACGGACTAAAAAACATTTTTTTAGAAATTTTATCCCCCCACCTTCCCCCCATTTTCAACAAAATGTAGAGGAATTACCCCAATTAACTCTCACCTGCCAAAATCATCACAAAACCCGGAAAATGTGGGTTTTTGACCTTTTGTCTGTATTGGGGGATGTCTTTGACAGATTTTGCGTAGATTAGGCCAACTCGCTTGTTAAAAGATTCTTCCAATGTGAAAATCTCCTCATCTGTAAATAGAATCCTCTTCACTTTTTTGGCGCGTACCGCTTGAGGAGAGCCCTTCATTTCTTTAGTAGGGCTTTGTTTGTGGATATCATCAAGAGGTGGCAAGTACCACATTTCAAAGCCTTAAACCTAAGGTTCAGTTTGAGTACTCATTGGACAATCTGCGTCAACAATGTCAGCTGTGAGGCTATTTTCCGTTGGAATTTCGAGAATTTCTTCGGATTCTGTCCTTCAGCGCCTTCACGATGGGTGTGGTCCTTGTAGGTTTTCCAAAAAATTTTCTTCGACTGTTCTTAGTCGATCCGGTCCCCATGAACGTTTTTACAGTCCGCTGGATTAAATTAAAGTGCACATTCGATTCCTATCACACTTCTCAAATTAGCTATTTCTTTTTCCATTTTTCAGTGGAAAATTATTGCTTCCTTTCAGTATTTTTCCTGCTGGCATTCTTTACAAGTTGTTAAAAACTCATGTGAGGTATTTATGTAAAATCGCACGAGGAATTCAATGCGCTTATCAGATTTTCATTATCTCCAGCGGTTTTAAAGTTATTAGCTATTAACACTTAGCCTGCCCCCACTAAGTAATATCGATAAATGCATGATTTCAGTCACACAAATTCGATCACCTGGCTACCAACCACGAGGCTATTATATTACTCGTATTTAAGTATTTTGAAAACTTCCTGTCGGATGCTAATTATTAAGTAGCTTCAGCTACTTTATGTGAAGACTTTGTCCGTCTGCCTCTGTGTCCGTCAGCAGGATTACCGGAGAACGGATCAAGATAATCGAAATCGGTTTGCGACATTACATAGGACCCCAGGGGGAGCATCCCATCAACTTTTTGGGGCAACCGGACCAGCCCCCCTGGGGCCAGGGGGTGTGGTCGGGGTAAAATGAGATTTTTAGTGCAATTTAATCTATAGATGAAATACAGCAAAATAAAGTGTTCCCGCGCTGTCGTAGGCATGGTTGGGGTGAAGTGTGACTGAAGCTACTTCCGTATGCGCGTTTGCGACGGTTTATTTGATATGACAAATTTCGAAAGCATTCTTTTACAAACTTCAGCATTGATCAAATTTGGAACTCAGACTGTCAAAATAGAAATCCCAACAAATAAATTTTGGTCCTTAGGGAGGTCAAGTTGGAATGGAATTTTTGGTCTGGCATAAATCGCTCTGGTCAAGTTGGTAAGGTAAATTTGGGCTGGACAATTTGGTTTAATTAAATTTACTAAATTAACGATGTCATTAAGTATTTAAACTTTCATAGATGTGTACACTATAAAATATTTTTTAAAGAATTTGAAGTGCAATATGTATTTGCATTCGAGGGATCGAAAGTAGGAACCCATAATGTCTTTCAAAGAATTTGTTGATCCCGTTTGTCAAGGCATATTTTCTCAAATTGTTCATATTTTCGATTTTTGGAACATTTTCAAGCATTCTTCGTTCATTTTGTGACCTTTTGCCAAATTCTAATAATTACGTAAACACAAAATTGCCAGAAAATGACGAAAAATTCAGTTTTCTCACAAGGAGTAATTGTGAGAAATTTACAGAAATTTGTAGAAATTTTAACCCACTTCCTTCGGTGATTTAGTTAATACATTGACAACGCCTTAAATCATCCCAGAACAATTAATGGTACACGATATGCTTGACCACAAGTGTAGCCCCTCACCCATACAAGACATAACATTTAATTGTATTTAGAGATGCTTCGTGCGGATTAATCCTGAAAAGGTTCGAATAGGTTAGAATCCTTAATTTAATTTAGGATACTAAATAAGTTTTCGAATTAAAGACTTTTGAACGAATTTTTCAAGGATTAGAAAACACCCCAAAATATGTTACCTATGGATTACCTGTGGTGATATCTTATATTTATTCAGCTTCGTATATTTAAAAGATGATTCTCAACCTGAGCCATTAACGTAAAATATGAATCGTCCAGGGATTTCACTGAACGACAAGGCGCAGAATGCCGATCTGGGGCCATTTTTGGCCTTTATTACCAAGGGTTGTTATTTTTTAATTTTGAAGATGATAAAAAATAAGTTACGACTTAAAAAAATTACCTATAAAAAATTTACTCGAGCTACAGTTTAATCTACGTCTAATGAGCAAAATATCTATATTATAATTTCGAAAAGTCTGTCCCGTGAAATTTCCCATGACATTCCTGCATTCTGATTGGCTGTTGACATTCCTGCTTCACTAATCATGGAACAGATACGAATTATGGTTACGATTATGATTATGATTGTGATTAATGATTATGATTATAATTATGATTCTGATTATAATTATGATTATGATTATCATTATCATTGTGATTATAAATAAATTTCTTTAGCAACATCAAAAAAATCCTTACCAACGTTCTAAAATTTCATGCGGCCCGTCTTTAGGACGGGCTTATAGGCTAGTATACAAATAATTTAAATTACAGGTATTTACGATGTCGAATTTTTTGGAGCTGGTTTGAATGATTATAGCTTCGTACATGATGTTTTAGCAACCTAATATGTACAAGTACCATCATTTCTCGAATTGATTGTCTTCAGATACCAGCCGGTTTGGAGATAATGACCTCTTAAGGTGGCAAAAAATGACATGGCGAAATTTTAAGTTTTTGGCCTACGAAAGTTATTGGGGGTAATTTTTTTCAATTCTAGCATACTTACGAGTTATTCTTATACCATAATTATCTTTAAAATTAAAAAGTAAAAAATGATAATAAAAATAAATTAAAAATAAATCTTGGTCGCAGATCCGCATTCTACGCCTTGTCCTTCCACTCAGCTTAAATATTTTCAATCTTTCTGAAAAGATTAGCATAAAACAGGCAGAACAAATGGAATCAGCTAGACAAGGTAAATAATTGGCACGGAGATTGGTTCCTGAAGCTCAGCTACAAGCGCGATTCGATGTTTGCCATATTTGAGCATCTCTATTGATGGTTTGTTTATTATTGTGTAACAATTGCACTGCTCGTAAATTGCGTTATAATTTTTTTGGTATATTTGTGAATAACAAGAAATCTACTGAAATTCTTAGGGCGCTTTTCGGGTCCCTCAGAATTTGGCGCCCTGGGCAATTGCCCCGGTTGCCCTCCCCAATTGAGGGTACTGCCATGGAGTCAAACCACTTCAGGGTCTTAGTATACTCATAGGACCCTACCACATATCCAAAGGACATCGAGATCTGAGACGGGCAGTTGGTGAAGCTCTCATCAGTGCACGACTCGTGGGTTAAACTTATTATTAATTTTTTAATAATGATAAATTCCAAGCATTTTTGTATGCTAGCAGTAAGGCAAAATATTTCATACATAGTCCGATCCTACGAATGGGACACTATTTTTTGAGGAGAAAACTATTGTCCGAAAGGCGGAGAAATTTATGTAATTGAGCTTAGATAAATTAATTATATGCAAACTAAATAAAAGGAAATTAAATGTTTGATAAGCAAGCGGAACGAAGGACAAATGAAATTTAATACCTTCAAGCCCCTTAAAACACTAAAAATTATGATAAGCAATGAAGCAAACCCAAAAAAATAATAAAATAAATATTTCGCTCTTTTAGTAAATTGAAGCCCGACTAATGAATAAACAAGCTCTAGTACAATTAGTTTCTACGCTAAACGATTTGACACTGTGCAAATATATTGAACATTGAGTGACGTATACAGTATGAAGAAATGAGCACAGTATTTTGATTAATATTTGCATTCAGAGATTTATTTGCAATGTTCTGTGAACATAATATTATGCTTGAATATACATGCATACTGTTAAACAGTGATGTGGATGGTGTCCACTCTGTGAAAATCAAACGCTGCCAAGCATTCCGAAGCTTATCGTGCCCTTATCTTCGAGCTAGCTTATCTATCTTGTCGCCACCAGTAGATACATACACACATGCATATATACCTGCACAGACTTTGACTATGATTATTATATCACTTTATTGCGCAGTTTGCAACATTTCTCTTCCCTAGTTCGAGTTCAGTGAACTGATTCAAAAAATTGGTGAATATTTCTTATCCTAAAATGGGAGTGGGTCCAGTTAGGTTATAAGTTGAGTTGTCAACGTGTGTACAAAGCAATGATTTTAAGCAAGATAAACATTTCCATGACCAAGTTTCAGATATTTATACGCAATATTTTGTGAACGTTGGCAAATAATACATGTTCGATTAAACTGACCACGAAGTTGTCCACTCGGTGGAGACATCTCGCTATCAGGAACTCTTGAGCTTGTCATGCCCTTATCATCGGGCCAGCTTATCTTGTTGCTACCAGTATTTACAGACATATACACTTAAACATACTTTGACTCTGATTAGGATGTCACGTTAATGCGCCGTTTGCAATATATCTCTCCATTCTCAAATCATCCTCGTTCGAGTTTACTGAACTTATTCAATTTGGTAAAGATTTCCTACCGCAAAATGGAAGTGGGTCCAGCCGTTCCGTCAGAATCTATAAATTCCTGGTTGAGGACCCAAACGTTGAAATCCTTTCTTGGACATGGATCATTCGGTTACGTTTTCCAGGCGGTAATTCATGATATTAATCAGTTTTGATTTTTGTACCATGTTGAAAATACACTTGATGGTGATGTAATTGGTTTAGGATTGTACATACATTCATATAATTATTGAAATACGGTGTTAATTTTCATGCGAAGTCAAAAACCAGTAACTTTAACATTTTATTACAAATTAGGTTGATCGACTGGAAAAATCCACTGCTATTAAAATAATATTTGTTGACCCGACCGATAAAACCTCGACGGAGCTGGAATGTGAAAAACTACGACTCTCCCGAGAATACAAATTAATTTCTGGAAAGAAACACGACAATTTGATCGAAATACTTGCATCAACCGAAAAACCTTTCGCTGTGGGGGATGTACAAGCCTTGCTAAGTCTTCCTTGCCTTCAGAACAACTATACCGTTTTAGATAAATTTCAACTCTTCTTTCTACAAGCACAACGAGGAACACAAATTCCGACGCTCTGCATTCAAATGGAGGTATGCGGTATGTCGTTGCGTCAGTGGCTGAACAGAAATAATCAGGCTGACGATCCGAAGCTCCATCCAGTTCGAAAGCAAATAGTTAAGGACATGTACGAAGGGCTAAAATATCTGCACAACAATAAAATCATGCATCGGGACTTTCGCCCAGAAAACATTATGTTTTCCTTCTCTTCTACGGAAGAAGAGTCTGCCTTTCCAGTTAAAGTGGGAGATTTCGGGCTATGCCGAAAGCTCCATAGCGAAGAAACGGTCACTAACACACTAACCACCAGGGTCGGCAATAACACGTATCGCGCCCCTGAAACAAAATTTTCGGATTACGGCATTCCCGCTGATTTGTATTCGTTTGGTTTGGTGTGGTGGGAAGTTGTGCAGGCAATTAGACAGAAAGATACGGCCTCTATGTTCGACGGGTTGGTTCATGATTCGGATTCAAGTCTTGTCGTAGAGGCAAATTGGTGGTTTCCAAATTGGGCAAATATTATTATTCGACTTACTAAGAGACGAGTCAAGGACAGAATTACAGGGCATGATGAAATACGCATTGAAAGTACCGTATATAATGTGGAATCGCATGTGCAATTCTCTGGTATCCAAGACCTCATTTTGCCAGGAGATATAGTAAATCTTAATATTTCGGATGAGATAAGAAAAGCTTACGGTTTTAAAGTTGACAATGTTGCTTTTAATGGGGTTAATCCTTCAGTCCATCAGCATTTGTCATTACACATCAGGGGAAACTCCTGTACAATTAACAATCTTAACTTGGGATTTTTAGACGTGTCTGGTAATGATGGCAGTTTCAGTAATGTTACTTGTGACGATTTGTTTGTCTCAGGAAATCGAAATAAATTCAGTAACATTGAAATCTTACATGTCAAATCTTACATTCTTTATGGTAGGCCAGCAATTACTATTAGGGGAAAGAATAATGTTTTAAAATCTGTCAAATGTACAAATTCCCATACCAAACCAATCAAAAATAATGCGTACCCACCATATGCACGCTGGACACCTTTTGCCCAAAAATATGGCCCGATATGTATTCATTTGGCAGAAGACTCCCCATCGTGTACAGTTGAAAATGCTAATTTTTACAATGCATTCATCACTGGAACTGGACATGTTTTGAAAGAGATTAGGTGCACGAATGCTATTGAGATTATTGGGAAAGGCCACACCATAGAGCGCGTAGATGCTGCGAATCGTATTGATAAGTCGACCTAATAAAATTGTAAAATTGTCGGCTCCATTTCGGATTAAGAATAAAATTCAGTGCCGCTGAACCTCGACCTTCTGGACTATGACATATTATCCAAGTTGGAGCCAGATGCATCTTTTAAACCCCACACAAGTTTGGAATCCGAGAAAAATTCTATCGTCACGAAATTGGACCTAGATCCCTTCGAACGCGTGCGTACCGCGGATCAGACGCGGGTGCCAAGACTTTGGGCTAGAGTCGCTTCGAAAAGAGGAAATCTAGAAAACTATTTGGTTTATTTTGAAGAGAATTTAATGGGCTTTCTCGGGATATCCTTATTTTTCAAGATTCAATAAACTTAGCCGGCTATATTAATTTCTGTAGTCTTTTTTTTTTTTTTTTAATATAACGCACGAATTTATTCCAAATATTCAAATTAAATCATCAAATACATATCATTTATTATAAAAATATTGAGGCGACGTCTTCTCGACAAGGCTTTACAAAATTTGGCCGTCATGGGTAGGAACTAAGCCAGTGCTTGTCTCCCGTATCTTCTTGCCTCTTAAAATGTTACAATTTTAGTAATTTTGGACAATTTCAGAATTCATAGAATATCATTAATTAATATAATTACAAGGTTTTCTTAACAAACGACGTATCAAATATATAGTAAAATCTTATCACATCATAAAACTAGGTGGGTTTATCTTACATACTAATTTACGACTAGGTATTGGTTAATCATGCAGAAAAAGGAAAGTTAATTGCATCAAAACCCTAAATTAATGTTTATTTTATTCTTGGAAATTTTATAAATAGAAAATTTGTCCCAATTTTTTTGAAATTTAGGAAAAAGGCTCGAATTTATACTGCATGCATAAAAATCAGTCAAAATCCGTCCATAAAGAAGGTGACGGAAAGAGGAAATGAGATCAAAATTGCCAGAGTAATTATTTAATCGGTGGACAAATGCTTTATAAATAATATTATTTGCATAAAAAATAATTACATTTCCCCCCGCATGCGAAACCCCATGAAGGAAGGCGTCGTCGAAGGCTCGCGAGTCAATGTTTACTTTTGTAAGCAATTTGGCTACTATTTTTCTTAAATCTAAAGTATGTGGACATTTTAAGTAATGTTCCACTTTCTGTAGTCTACATAACATATGGCACCACCAGGTATCTACAAAATACCATTCATGTTTCTAAACAGGCGATTTTGATCCATTTCTGGGGGAACAGTTCTGCGAATATGCCCTCCTTCTCCCCCCCCTTCGCCGGCAATGTAATACTTAATGGAATTGAAATGCTAACAAAGGAGTGGAATATTAAAACAACGGAAAGTGTGTAAATACTTTATGTTTAGTTCTTAAATTGCACCAAGAAAAATTTCAGTGAGCTTGTTTAAACACGTTATTGGTTGTCAGGAATTGGTTGAACCCCGGGAAAGTGATAAATAGGAACTATGTATAATAAGATACAAGCACACATATGCCTTTATACTAATTCACATAAGTTCTATGAAATGTTCATATTATTTTGCAAGGCAATAACAAATCAATCTAGCGCCATGTGAAATTACTTATGTTTTCAGACATAATTAAATAATTCATCGCATTCTGCGCTGTATTCTACACCGCCAAACATTTTGAATAAATATTCTAGCGACACGCCTAATTTTAAAAGCTACCGCTAAAGTTACTAGGTACAACATTTTACGCAACTCAAAGATAACAATCAATACAGATGAACCAATTAAAACGCCACATAAGGATTTGTTACTCAGATTCCGAACTGGGGTATTGCGAGAGATATTTCTGGCGCCAATATACCAATTAAAATAATTAGTTCTGTATTTGAAAGAGGAAGTCATACTCTGTCTGTGCTCAAAATTTCATATTTCTATGATGTCCGGTTCTCATTTAAAACGAGGTGAAAGCGAAGAATTAGCAAAACGAGTTTTGCATTTTTACTTTTCTGTCGCAAATCAAGACTCCAATTCGACCTGGCAGCATTTCAAGAAAGAAAATTTCAAAAAGACTACAATTTATTCTTACATAAAAAAGTGCAAGGAATCCAATGAAATTACTTTCAAAAAGATCCCAGGCCCCAAACCAAAGATAGCGACCAAAGCGAAGATAAACAAGATCAAAAAAATTTTTAGTGATAAGCCTTCTACAACTGTCGGTCAGGCTGCTCGGAAACTTAAAATGTCGAGGTCCTGGGTGAACAGAATTAAAGTAGAGAAGTTGGGGATCACTGCGAAAACCAAAAAGAGTTCACCAAAATATATCAACGGTCAAGAAGCCAGAATTCAGAAGGCATGCAAAAAAATTTATCGAAAACTGACACGAAAAGTTATCGTCATGGATGACGAAACGTACGTTTACCTCGATCCAGCTGAAGTCCCAAGCCGTCAATTTTATCACTCCTCGAAAGATGGTGAAGTGTCTTATGAAGACCAATTCAAAGTCAAAAGCAAGTTCCCGAAGAAATATTTGGTTTACCAAATCCTGGACTCGGACGGAAATTGCTCGGAACCCTTCATTACGGAGGCAAAAATGAACTCCAAGATGTACCTGGAGAAATGTATCAAAGGCGTTCTGGAACCCTTCATACATCAACATCATTCCCCAGAAAGTATTATCTTCTGGCCTGATATGGCCACTTGTCACTACGCCAAAATTGTGACGGACTATCTCAAATCAAAAAACATCAATTTCATCACCCGTGAAGGAAACGCTCCTAATCTTCCGCAATGTCGTCCAATTGAAAGATTTTGGGCAAATTGTAAAAGACGATACTCAAAGGAAAAGAGAAAACCAAAAGGGTTGACAGGATTCAAAAGGATGTGGAAAAGAATCAGCTTTCAAGAAGCAAACGAGCATGGGAAAAGCCTAATGGCAGGTGTCCAGAAGAAAGTGGGGGCGGTCGCAAGAAAGGGGGTGAAGCAAGCTATGACTGATGGCGACTTATAGGTATGTTCCAAGGCTACGTTGTATAAAATTTGGAATGAATCTATGAATTATTTCTCTAGATATCAACAAAATGGACCAGTTCGGAATCTGAGTAACAAATCTATAATATAAATAGAGTTAAAATCGCTCCACCCAGCCTAACCGAATCGTCTTCTCGTTTTGGAATAGTATACTCTGACAATGCGATGACGCCAGCGGTCTCGCCCCGATTTTGACGAAACGACGATAATTATGTAGGCTTAGATAAATAATTAGGCACGTGTTTCAGGATTTTTCATAATGCTCAGTTTAAACGAAATTATGAGGAGATCCGTGAGCGAGAAATCCCATTTTCACCGTGACATTTTTCTCTGAAGGGAGAAAAATACAGATTCTCCATTACGAATTTCATCATAATTTCGTTGAAGCTTAAATTGGGTGGGCATGAAGTGTTTTTTTCCGATTTATATATTTATATATTGCTTGTACAAATTTTGAAATTTTGAACATTTTTCAAAATTTTTGAAAATTTAGAAAATTTTTGAAAATTTTGAAAATTTTTGAAAATTTTTGAAAATTTGTTGAAAATTTAGAAAATACACAAAAATGCAACAAACCAAAATCGCAGAAAACCACTTCGTGCCCACCAATTTTAAGTTTAAACGAAATTATGATGAAATTCGTAATGGAGAATCTGTATTTTTCTCCATCGCGATAAAAATGTCACGGTGAGAATGGGAATTCTCGCTCACGGATTTCCTCATAATTTCGTTTAAACTGAGCATTATGAAAAATCCTGAAACACGTGTCTAATTATTTATCTAAGGCTATATAATTATCGTCGTTTCGTCAAAATCGGGGCGAGACCGCTGGCGTCATCGCATTGTGAGTTACGTGAAAACTTTCTCATCACAATTTCCATATCTAGACGCCCCTGGATCCCCGATTCGAATAGACGTTGAAAATATTCCGGCACCTTTGAATTACCCTCACCTTCAAATGTCCACCCGCCTAAGACAAAATTAAGTATATCCTTCCCCTTGTAAAATCATTATTTCAGATTATAATTTTAATCATGTAATCGAAAATAGTGATAACATAACTAACCTGCTTTTTGCAGCGACTTTTCAGATTTTCCCAGCCTTTTTTCAACTGAGCCCCTGTACGTTTCACTACCGAAATGTGGGAACAAAATTCCGTGCTCACACTGTCCCAAGCGTCCTTTTTCTGAGCTGTCCACACAGCGTTGGTTCGCTTGTTCTCTACCACGGCTTTAACAGACGGCTTATTCACTATTTCCAACAAAATTTCCTTCTCCTCAGAAGTAAACGGGGGTAATTTTGCAGTCTTTTTTTCAGATTCATCTTGCGAATTAGACATGATCACACTCTTCTTTCCAACCAATGAATAATAGCTTTGATAATTTACGGTGATACTAGCGTAGAGAAATGCACCAAGTTTCGTAGATGTTAAATCGTTAACACGAATTCTATTAGTAACTTTATTACTATTATTTACTTGAGAACAAGTAGGCAAATTTTATTTTGCAAGTCAAGTTGAAAGTCCCACTCAAAAATCTCGACTCAGCTCACAAATTGGAGACTCAGCTCACAAATTCTGACTGGAGGTTAATTTTCATTAAGAATACCAACTGAGTTGAGTGAAGAATCGAGACTCGCACTCACACTCAGCAAAGTGTGAGTGTAAGTGGAGATTTTTATGTCATTAGGAATGTGACCGTAAGTCTTCTTTCATATTATGTTCCATATCCAGATATCGAAATGACTCCAGTCCCCAAATCGTGGGAACCGAATGCAAATGTCTGAACAATTGCACAATATTTCCATTACTTTCTGTTTCTGTGCACTGCATTGTTGAAATATTCTTTGACACAAGACCGATAGGTTGCACGCAAAGACGTTCTTGCTTTCGACCAAGTAATAAGATCCCAAAGTTGTCTGACATGCGTTCACTTTGTAATGAGGTTTCGCGAGGATGCTTAAAGATTCTTTGCAACTCTGATTTTTGTATTGCACATATCAAAATTTTGTAGACATTTTTATGCAAAGGGGGAAAAACGTTACTGCTCTTGTACTGATAGTCGGACGCATCCATCCAAAACTTACTGTATGGTTGTCTTAAATCGAAATTTCCTGGATAATAATACTCATACACAATAAAACTGATTTTGCATTTTGAATTTCGTTTTCTAAATAAATGTGTTACAGTATTTCTTGGACTCCTAAAGATATCCAGACGAACTAGAATGAGTGGGTGAAAATCAGAGGCACTGACTGGCTGAAGCACGTAGTCGCTGATTTTGTCGTACACAATCTGTACTTGGCAGTATTCTGATCTAGCAAGAAGCTCAGGTATGTTAAGATGCTTTGAATTTTTGCATTGGATGATTTTAAAT